CATATTAATATAACATATCTACTAATTTATTCCAATTAACCAATCATATTTTCCTAAAGATTCCTAGTAATTTTTAAGGTAATCTAACTTTCTATTAATATAATATTTCTAATAATCCAACATTATCTAAACCAAAAGCACTCTAAGAGTAATAACTTGCCGAACAAGTGATTATGGAAGATACTGTAACAACCCCAAACTCACCCTTAATTGGTCTACTTTTCCAAATTTGGTGGAATGTTTGCGAATGAAATCAACGTCAAATAATTGCTAAATGACGTCCCATATCAAGTGTCTTACAATCATAAGCTACAATTCCAAGTAGAAGATACAAATCCTTCATTGAGATGCAAACAATCTTCAATATAAGACATAGTTTCAGTATAAATTTCAAACCATTTCGAAATCAAAAACACATTCAAACATGTTTTATTTTCAGATGTTTCAGCTCTCAAACAGTAAAAAAGGGGCATCCCTTACTTTAAAATTCATAACAATTTCCACTTTATTTGTAAAATTATGAAAATTTTCGTATTAGAATAATAATAATAAGTTTGAAAAATGTAAACGTTCATGTCAAAGTGTATTCATAAAATTGACATACTTAATAGTAAAACTTTGAATATAATTGCTGGGATCCTAACTGCCTAATTTTTCACAATTCAAGTTTCACATCGAAATATTCATAGTTTAAATAACTGAAATTTTATGAACATACAATATCATACTCATGCAAAATTAGATGTTATCTACTCTCCAAAATAAAATCATATTCATTGCTGTGAATCATACACAGTACAATAAAATAAAGCTCATTGAACACGCAAACTAGTGAAAAAGACATAGCACGTACTTTGAGCGTCCTACTTCAACCAATTTCTTATTCCCATATAGAAGATATAATGGGGTTTTCTCTTAAGAGAACAATCTACATTCAAGTTTTGGTTTAGGAGAAAAATAATGTTAATAATACCACTCAATAAACACTCATGTGATCACCAAAACCACAACTGCAATGTCTCTAGAAAGGGATTATAGCTCAGTCCATACATTGCAAGATCCAATTGGCTGATCACTAAGATAAGTAGAGAAGGTAATATTTGTGAACACTAGTGTTTGATGAAATGCCTGAGAAATGTGTGGTTACATGGACTACAGCATTTCAGGGTACATCAAATCTGGGTTGATTGAAGAAGCAAGTAAATTGTCTGATAGGGTTGCTGCTCAGAAGAATGTGGTTACGTGGACAGCAATGATGAGTGATTACGTGAGATACAATCTGATTTTTTAAGTAGAGCAGTTGTCCAAAGAAATGCTGATAAAAAATGTGGTTTCTTGGAAACCCATGATGGATGCGTACATCTAATTGGGGTTGATTGACAAGGCTTTGAGTTTGACAAAATGTCTAAGAAATGTACTGTCATGGTATTCTATAATTACAGCGCTGGAAAATTGTGGGAGAGTTGAAGAAACGCAAGGGTTGTGTCATGTAATACCTAAAAGAGATGTGATTTCTTGGACTGCAATGGTTGCCAGGTTGGTATTGATAGGATGCCAGAAAGGAAAGGAATCTAGTTTCATGGAATGCAGTGATTACTGGTCATGCACAGAATGTGACGCTCAATGAGACTTTCGAGTTGTTTAAGAAGATGCCAAAAAAGGGATTTACCCTCGTGGAACAAGATGATCAAAGGGTTTATTCAGAATGAGGAATTGACTAGGACGAGGGGACTCAAGCTACAAGAACTGTTCATGATTCCAGAGAAGACGAAGTTGTTATACAGCTTAGTAAATCAGTGAATGAAGAACACAGCTAAGCATAAACAGTATGTTAATTTCATGGGATGGGATAATAGATAAAGCAGCAGGAAGTACTGGGTTGCAGGCCCTAGCACTCAACTCAAGCAACTCAGTTTGGTTTCCAAACTCTTAACTAGCGAGAAACCAATTGGTTTCATTCAATGTTAAAACTGATCTTAATATGCATACAGCATCATAATATCCACCTATAACACAGATCCATAGAGATACAACAATTGGCTAAATATATCCAAAAAAAAAACTATACCTAATTGTTTATGTCAATAATTAATAACAAACTGAGAATAATTTATAGCTATACAATGTTGCCAAATAATATACAATAATCATACCTTCAGTAGTCAAGAATCTAAATATACCAAACCACATAGCTTTCTTCTGGAACTTGCTTAACATCAAGGCTTGATTTGAATCTGGGATTTGGAAAACAATCACGCAATATCTCTAGACAACATCCGTTGACTGAAACTTGAATTTGGATCTTCACGGTTCATATTCCACTCTTCTGGACATATTCTTAAGGTTTTCCTTTATGGTCTGCCAAGTTAAAATCGAGCAATTTAAAGGCATACATAAACCTAATAATTAAAGCAAAATTCTTTTAATTAATGGAAAAGGCGTTCAATTATCAAGCTTAATAGAAATATTAAACTTTTGAATAAGGATAGAGAGACAAAAACAAACCGAATTGAATGAAGAGAATGAATCAGCCAACGTGGAAAGGGCCGATATCCCCGGCTCTTAAAGAAGCAGCAACTTCATCAGCAACAGTCAAGCAAGAAGAAAGCCAGCCATTCAAAGCCCTCCACACCATCTTCGCCATCCAGACTGTCATCCCCAATGGCACTGCCATTTTTATTCTGATTGACCATTCCTCTTTACTCTTTCATCCCTCTTATTATTTCTCTCCTTCATTCATTTCAAGTGACTTGTTATTGTCACGGTGACTTTATTTTAGATATCCAATAAAATATTGCCACGATGTGTGGGGGACCCAGCACTTCGGCTTCACTCTTGTTTTACGTGGCAAATTCCTGGTTGGTTGGTGTAAGAGCAAATAATTTCATGCTTGATCATCAGAGTAATTCACATTTAGCCTCTTTCGCGAAAACGCAACGGAAAATTTTGATGGAAATTTCCCATTCTTTTGATTACTTCCATCATCAATTTTTTAAGGAATGAAAATTGCTTAAACTCCATTCCTTATGAATGTGGGAATGGGATTCCTTCTTGTTATGCCTAAAAAAGTAAGGCTGCCGCAGAGTCTTATCAACATGGTGGTTAGAACTTAAGAAGGTTCAACGACCGCTCAGATGAGGCCACGTCGCATGATGACGCGAGTAGCATGCTCTGCCAGTGTAGTGGGTGTACGCCAGATTGGCAAATGGTTGGAGATGGTCCACGTGTCCAATCCATGCATAAGTTGAGGAAATCACTCGGGCAGGTGAGCAATGAGACGTAGAGAAGGATTTGCACGGCATCCACCCCACTCACAGATTTAGTAATCATTACCTTTATTCATCCCACTATAAATAGAGGTCTCCTCTCTCATTTATGGGATTGGCTAATTTCACGCTAGAATAGCATTCTCTCTCTCTCTCTCTCTCTCTCTCTCTCTCTCTCTCTCTCGTATTCTCAACGTTGTAACTCAGCTCGCTGAATGCGACTTGACTTTATTCATTAATACAATATCAGTGGACGTAGGATTCACCTTGTGAGCATCCGAACCACTTTAAACGTGTTCTTCACCTTTTGTTCAACTAAATACTTTCATAACCACGTGTGACTTCTAAGCCCGCTTATCATTTCTCATGTGTGAATAGTTGGTGTCAAAATCAAGCGTCAACACTTCTTTAAATGAAACGAATCCTCATTCTATACTTAATATTAATATTTGAATTACTATTTTACCCTTTCACAATGTATTAGGGGTTTTTCTCGACCCCTGAAGTTTGGGATAATATTAAACCTCACGAGGTTTGCCCAAATTCCCCATAAACCCTTTGGGGGCGTTTGGTTGAAGGTAACATGGGATTACTGAAATTAGATCATCTTATATTACTTGATTATTATGTTTAGTTGTCAAGTAATATAAGATTCCGGTAATCTTCAAATACCAATAGTAGTTACTGTTGGTAACATTGGAGATAATCTGATTACGTCCATTTTCTTAGGTATTCTAAGATTACCAGAGTAATCTTTTTTCTGTTACAATTCTATCCCTTATTAATATAATTTTAGGACAATAATGCCCTTATTTTTAAATTTATTTACATGAATAAGACTTTTACTATTTCACCCCAATTAATTAACTTTTTGGACAAAATTACCCTTGAATTCAAAACAAATTGTAGCCCACCCAAGCCACCACCCCCACCCACCTGTCGCCGGCAACCATCGCCGCAACCAAAACGGTGCACGGAAGGCTGAAAATGGCCGTCGGGCGCTGATATGGCCATTTCCTGCCTTCTGTGCGCTGTTAGGTTACCAGTTGCTGGTGGCCTACAATGGTTGCTAGCGGCTAACAGTGGCTGGGTTGGTGGGGGTGCTTTGTTGATTTTCCAAACTTTTATTATGGGGTTGTTTTTGCTAAGTTTTTAAATGCAGGGGAGTTATATAATCCAAATAATAATCAATATTAAAAAATAATATAATAATAATATTTAATTAGAGGACAATTCAGTAATTTAAATAACATACCCACCAATTTATTCCTCCCAACCAAACATATTTTCCTAAAGATTCTCAGTAATCTTCAAGGTAATCTAACTTTCCAATAATCCAACATTCCCTGAACCAAACGCTCATTTGTGGTATTAGTAATTACTCTCAACCCCATGTTGTCATTTGTCAACCCCTAAAGTTTACTTAGTTAGTTTGGACATAATAAGAGTAAAAGAGAAAATGCACCAATTTTTGTTTGTAATTATTAAAGGTTGATATTTACACCCCCTAAAACTTGTAAAAATTAACTTATATCCCTCTCCTTTTCATAGATGGGGGTAGAAGCTTTGGAAATCCCATGTCAGGCCACATTAATTCATTGGGTATTGAATGAATCATATCAAAATATGATCTGATATATGCCTCCTTAAAAAAAGACTTATCAACATAATCTATTAGGTTAAGTCTAGCCTTATTGATGGTCCCCATCACATTTTTGCATGGGATTCTTTTATCTACCACTCACCACAAGAGCATTTACCAGGTCTCTTCAGATCAACAAGGTGAATCTTATTGATCTCATGTACTTCAAACTCATCCTGCCCAACAATATAAACCTGTAGTTTACTGCCATATCTAGCAGCTACAACCAGTTTTCTCTCTGCAACAGGGTTTAACTTACTAGTCCAAGTACTAGCCTTTTCTAGTCTAAGGTAAAGTCTATTCGTCACTTCTAATCTTATAAATTCAAGTAACTTCTCAATAGGATATTCACTGACAATATTCAGGAGACCATTCCATGACTCCGACATGTTATTTGTAACACGGTCAGATTTGCATTCCTTTTCAAAGGCATGTTGATAGGAAATTCTATGAAAACAGTAAATCAAAGAGTCCCTACAATTCTAAACACACAAACATAACAACTGAAACAATTCTAAGTAATATATTGATCTGAAAATAAGAACAAAGATGCAAGAACATTCAAAAGTAATTAAGCAATAAACATAGATACTAGCAGTTCGAGGAGCTAGCTGCGTCCCTCTTATATTCCCAAAAGAAACAACATACCCCTTTTTTTTATGGTTTTTGCCCCCTTGTATACACAAATGGTTGTCGCACTAGTATCCCCTTGGAGCCATGTGGATTATTCCTCTAACTAACTGTCATTTGTCAATCTATCCACTATGCCCCTTCATCCCTTCTTCTTGTAAATCTTGGTAATGGGTGGTCTATCATATGTCTACTCCAATGATGGGCAAGTATTTTGGATAAGTAGAGATAGATAGCCTCATTACTGTCTTTGATGCTATCCATTGCAGCTCTATAATCATATTCATTTGTTTCCCTTGAAGAAGCCCAAAACACATTTCTGAACCTAAGGTCAGGAAACCTAGACCTAAAGTTGGCAAAAATATGCATTACGCAACATCAAATGTTAGCACGAGGGAAATGAATGGACAAAGCAAAAAGTATACTTTTTTGCCTTTCAAACATGATGGTAAGCTTCATAATCTCTATTGAACCAATGTAATCATACAAATGTTCAAGGAATTGGGTTGGGCCATGGACTACCTGTCAAGCCTTAGAAGCCTATCAGCAACTCTCCTTCTCGCCCTCTTGAGGGGCCCACTGAGCCTTGCTGCATGGGCTCGGAAGGTAAGGCTTGCTTTGATACCATTTGATAGGAACCCACTTCCAAATTAATAAGAATTGGGTTAGGCAGTGCACCGCTTGTCAGGCTTTAGAAGCCTATCAGCAATTCTCCTTCACGCTCACTTGGAAGGCCCATTGGGCTCTACTACATGGGTTCAGAAGGTAGGGTCTGCTCTAATACCATTTGATAAGAACCCACTCCCAAATTGATAGGAATTGGGCTGGACAATGGGCTGCCTATCAGGCCTTAGAAGCCTGTCAACAACTCTCCTTCTCGCCTACTTGGGAGACCCATTAGGCCCTGTTGTGTGGGCTCAAAAGGTAAGGCCTGCTCTAATACCATTTGATAAGAACCCACTCCCAAATTGATAGGAATTGACCTGGACAATGGGCCGTCTATCAGGCCTTAGAAGCCTGTCAGCAACTCTTATTCTCGCCCACTCAGGGGGCCCATTGGGCCCTATTGCGTGGGCTCAGAAGGTAAGGCCTGCTCTAATGCCATTTGATAAGAACCCACTCCCAAATTGATAGGAATTGGGCTGAACAATAGGCTGCCTATCAGGCCTTAGAAGCTTGTCAATAACTCTCATTCTCGCTCACTCGAGGGGCCTATTGGGCCCTGTTGTGTGGGCTCAGAAAGTAGGGTCTGCTCTGATACCATTTGATAAGAACCACTCCCAAATTGATAGGAATTGGGTTGGACGGTGGACTTTAATAGAAATTGGGTTGGGCAGTGGTCTTTTTCGTGGGTTTGCGTAGAACTCTCCTTGAAAAACCGACTTGCCAAAGAAGGGTGCCCAACTCCTTATAAACCACATGCCCGCCCCTTTTTGCTTTCCATATGGGATCCTAACACATACCCACTCATGTAATTGGCAATTCTGTCCGAGTCACTGCTTGTACTAATATAGTGATTAAAGTATTTGCTATCATCACTTTGATATACTTCTAGATAACCATCAAAACAAGTACCATGATCTGAATTCCTAATCTCCTCAATGAAGGTATGTCCATGAGTATCAGAATCATCAATAACAATGTTAGACATATCATCACAATCATGCCCATATTCAGAATCAAACACATCATTATTACTCAAAAACAAGGTGTCATCATCACTCAATTGATATTGTGAATCATCATCCCCATTAACATCATTCAAAAGTTATTTACCATGAGATTTTTTCATTTTGTCTGTGACTGGTTTCACATTGTGTCTTTTTCTGTGCAAGTGATGTTAAGTTGAAATACTTAAGATAAAATGTAAGTTCCATAACATTCAACAAACAATTGCCTTAGCTCTTTGTCATTGTATATATTATTAATTTTCTCTCCAGTCCTAGGAAATTCTAATTGAAAAATATAAAAATCATCACATTGCACAATCAAACCAGTATGTTTTTTAGTGACATCATTAACAAATTGAACCAAAGAATAGACATGAAGATTCAAATCAGGAATGTACATACAATATCCTGAAAGTGAACAACAACAAAACATCAGACATGGTAGACTTGTAATAAAGAGAAAAATAAAAACAAATAATAATAATAGTAGTAAAAATTTGAACGAAACAAAATAGATACGAGAAAACATATATTCCATGCAACATAGTAGCACAAATCAATACAATTTCAAATCAACAATATGCAAAATATTTTAAACCATTTATCAATTGCTTTCCACCCCCCCCCCCCCCCCCCTCACCCCCCCCCCCCCCCCCCCCCCCCCCCCCCCCCCCCCCCCCCCCCCCCCCCCCCCCCCCCCCCCCCCCCCCCCCCCCCCCCCAAAAAAAAAAGCGCTAAATATAAAGATAATGTTAGTGTATGTGCCTTAAAACCAATGATAGATGTAAGGTTTAAGGAAACATTTATATATAAATTTGTAAGTTTATCATTAATAAATGACGATTATCTATGCTACTTTGAGTCATCTATATTTAATTAAGTTGTGTATGTCCTTGAGTTTATTTTGGAAAGAATTTTATTTTCAAAGAGTTTGAGAACATGAGTATCATGATTCTTTCATGTGACTCGCTCTTAGGTATGTTCTTGATCAAATGTGATAATAATCGGGGGCAATACATCGCAAGATTAGCATTACTGTGTGCCGCCATGATTAGCATGAGATGTTGATGGTTGGGTGATGAGACTCATATCATAAAGGCAGGAGTAATGAGGTGATTTATTAAAGAATGAAGCATCGAAACGTGATCGCTGAACGATTGATCACATGGGATAATATCTTCAGTCAATGATCATCGTTATGTTCTTAGTCACTTTATCCCTAGACCTGAGATGTAATCATGTTTGTTGCATGGGAGCTTGTGGTTCTTCGGTACGTTATCACTAGATTGTTTTTATCTGGTGTGTAGTGCTTGTTGGTCATGAGTTAATCATGTACGGAGTCTATACATATTCAATAAGGAATTTGATGGCTCGGATATTACGAGCTTGAGTGTTCCAAGGGATCACGAATGTGGAGGAAGTCTTTGGCCAAAGCATTTATGTGTTTATGAATATTTCATACAAACACAATTCTACATTTTAAGATTATCTGAATTTATTGATCAAGTTCGAGATTTGACTATACCATGGTCTACACTTGATCGGAACACGAACCAGAGGGAATGAAATTACATGATTGAAACGCTCAATTTTACAGGTTTATATGATCTCACTTCATTCATTGATTGGGGGTCATGATATACTGCTGAGTGTCACTCATGGTCTGTAACGAAGATGGATATCAAGAGTTAATATTTACCTTATTGCCAATCGGTAAGAACTAGATAAGGTCACACACATTATGGACTTCTAAGCTTGATGGGAATCAGGGATTTTCTCATTAAAGAGTTAATGAAGATATTAAGTTTCCATAAGTCCTAATTGACTAATTAGTAGAATTGGTTTAAAGGGTATTTTGTCATTGGATAAATTAATTAAATTAATTAATTAGTTAAAAATTCAGTCCAAATAGGAGGCTTTATAAATGGATAAATTAATTGCACTTGTAATTGGATAAATTAAGTCCAATTGTATTTTTGTAATTGGATAAATTAATTGATTGTTGATAATTAGTAAAAATAAGTCCAAATAAGGAGGCTTTATAAATGGATTTAATAATTAAACCTGAACCTAAATTGGGCTAGCACTCAGATGGGTCTAGGTTTAGTTATTAGTTAATCCATCAGAGAAAACTTAAACTAGAATAAGATATTCTAGGGATTGCCTACTAATCCAATTTTGGTGGCTATTTAAAGGAGGTTTAGGGTTCATTATTTCATAAGAGAAAAATTACAAGAAACCTTGACCACCGATATTCTCTACCATCCCAAGGAAGAGGTTGTTCTTGATTCCATTATAGTGGTTAATTTCCATCAGCGAGAGATCTAGTGGTATCGATCTAGAGGTACCACACTTGAGGTACTTAATGAGGATTCAACAAGGAAAAAGAAATAGCAAAGGAGTCGGGAACCTTTTCTTACTCTTGTTTTGTATTTTATGTTTTTGATACATCTATACATGCATGTGTTATTTGCATTAATCGTTATTACCTCGATCACAGACACATTTGGGGAGGAATTTTAAAATCCGGACAACTGAACGCTTCCACTAAACGTTCCTTACCCCAACATATAAATCATCATCCAATGATACGATGACCTCTAGAATTGAAACACGGATTCATGAATATTCGGAGGTCAAGAAATATACATAGGTTAGTCTACGATATAAATCATCCATAGATTTATTGCATGTTTATTTTAGTTTTAAATCGCAAAACGGACATTGAAAATAATAAAATATTCCAAATAACAAGAAATTGGCTACAAATTTGTTTGCAACTATAATAATCTAAACATCAGCATAAATCCTAAGGCTAGAAACATCACACTTAAGAATCAATTCATAGTGACGTTACAGATCAAGCAACAACGATTAAAATCCACATTTTATGTACACCTAGGGCCGGATTTGAGTCACGTCAAACTGAGCCAAGTATCTAACTACTCAAGCTTGGCCGGTGTACAATACTGAGCTCGAGCTCGGTTGAGCCTTAAGTTCTAAGTTCGAGCTCAAGCTCAAGTATAGAAAGGGTTACTTGAGCTCGAGCTCGAGCTCGGTCTAAGCTCAATCGATTAAGGTTATTTTCAAACGCTAATCTAGCTCGAGCTCAAATAAAA